AAAACTTGTAAAATAAAGTAAATCTAAAAGTACAGATTCCTCTAAATTGTAATAGAACCTTATTTTAATGGACGATGTTTCCTAAGGGACTGTGATGACTCACTCCTGTACGGCAGCATGGCCGTGGTGCTGAAGAAGACTTTGGTTTGTCCGAGTCGCAGCAGAGTCTCCGTCCAGGGGCTGAAATCATAACCTGCAGGTGATCACACGTCAGTTATCTCAGGTCACCAACTCAAACTCAGTCAAATGTGCTGAACGCGGCGTTCAACGATTCATTTACAGATGAATCTTTGCTTCACGAGATCGACTGGAGATTATTGTTGTGCATGTCTTGACTGATTTGTGTCTTTATCTATTCTTCTCGTCTCCAGGTCGACTGCGGGGGTTTCTCCACCTACCGAGGACGGGACAGGACGCCGGTTTGAAGGCCTCGCACTGCAGACACCTCCCGTCCAGGAAGTCGCTGTAGGACGAGCAGGGGTAACCGGTGAGGCTGCAGGTTCGGTTCAGAGCGCACAGGTACAGAAACACCGAGCGCTGGTGGTCACACACAAAGTAAGATTTACCTGTGGGGGAGAGAGAAGGTGCTGCATGTGAGTGAGTGTGTCTTATTTTGTCTTTTGTGTGTGTGTGTGTGTGTGTGTTTGTGTGTGTGTCTACCTGCAAAGATGGTTTTGGGGCATCCTGGTTGGTCGGCTCCACCGTTGGCGTAGAAATCAATGTGACCGTGAGCTCCTGTCAGACCGAACGCTGAACATGGGAAACACACGATCAGTCAATACAGTTTATTTAATTTAAGCATCTTTCACTGAGCAAAATCATCAAAAATCATTAAAAATCCAACAGAAGAATCCGATGATTGACGATAATCATCAGATGATCGACAGTCTGCAGGTGGGACATGGACCAAAGTCAAGTTTATTTTTAGAGGCTCACAGTTCATGTCGGTGTGAAGAACGTCCACGAACATGGCGTCCGAGGGATCCAGCCTCTCCTCCGGTGTGGAACTGGTGAACATCGGCCCGGCCGGGTCCAGACCTGGAGAGAGAAAACAAGAGAGTCGACTGTGACTTTTGGAAAACTTTGATACCAGATCCAGCTTTTCTGGAACGAAGGACAGAAAACAAACCTGCTTCTTCTACAAGTTGAATTTAAAGTTCTACATAATAATAAAACTCTGAATTCAAAAAGATCGGTTTATTTCAGAAACAGACAAAAGGACTGAAACAAGTTTAAAAAAGATTTTAAAGATAAAATGAGATGAAATGATCTTCTGGTTAAAAGTAGATTTTAAAATCTTTCACCGTTAATCAGTTCATTAAATATCTGCACTTCTGTGGTTTCATTCATCTGAAGCTTTAAATCTAAAATCCTAAAACCTGCTCGGACCTTTTTCCTACAACCTGAAGTCTCGTCCTGTTTTTCACCTGTGATGCGTCCGATCTTTCCCTTCAGGTTTGCTCCCACAAATCCGGCCAGGTGAGCTCCCAGACTGACGCCGATGAGGTGGACCGAACTCAGAGAGGCTCCTTCCTCCTGCACACACACAAACACCAGACTCTCATTGACCTTCAGCTCCGGGCTGCGGCTCGGAAGAGAAGTGCGTCCGTGGCTGTGGTTCTCTCACCTCCATGGTCTCGATGAACCCGGTCAGGTTGTGCGCGGCCTCCCTCGTGTAGGCCACAGCCGTGAAGTAGTTGAGGTTTGCCGCCCCCTGGTTCCAGTCCACCACGACCACGTTCATGTCCTCCTGCCCGGCCAGCAGGTGGACTATGTGGTCGATCCAGATAGGGGGCGCTCCGGTGGGCCGGTAGCCGTGGATGACGAAGGCGGTGGGGCGGGAGAGGTTGAAGAGCGCCTGCGAGGCCGGGCGGTGGTGGTCGATCTCGCGGCCGCAGTCGAGGTTGGCGCGGGTGTAGAGGAGCAGCCGCACGTACAGGCTGGTTCCCATGAAGCAGTGGGACAGGTTGAGGTCTGTGAAGCTGTCGCAGGGCTCGCCCCCCCCGCTCCCCTCCTGACCTGAGGGCACAGGACGGGCGGCAGCTGAGGCTCGTGGGGAAAGAGTCGTTCATACATTCGATCGAAGGAAAGATTAATCGCAGGGGAGCTTAGAATAAGTCACGTGTGTTTTTCTTTCCTGACCCCGTTTCACCAAAGGTCAAAGGTCACAGAGGTGTGATAAGAGGTAAACGCCGAGATCACCTCTTTGTCTGGTGTCTCGTTGGTCTGACCCATAGACTGTATATAAAGAGGTCTGACCTCTTCAGCTCCGACAGACGAGGATTAAGGAGGAGGCCGGGTACCGGAGCTTCTCCTCGGGCTGCTTCAATGGTCAACACTCAAAGTGTCAACACGTCGTGACGTCACCTGTTGGTCGGTGAGCTGCTGTCGTGAGAACTCGGGTCTCACGTCTCGTCCAGCGCCATCTTTTGAAACAGTTCACACTTTACGGTCTGTTCGACTCTGATCTGAACCCACTGTAGTTAAGACTCGAGGGATCTGCGCTCCACATTTAGCGGACACGGATCAGGCTGCTATAAGAGAACACCTCATCCCCTCAGCACCCGCCCCCTCCGTGAACACAACAGGTGATTACAGCTGTCAATCAGAGGGAGGGCGGGGCTACAGGGTGGAGATGGCCCCAATCCAACAACCCACCATGAGTAAAGTGTGTGTGTGTGTGTGTGTGTGTGTGTGTGTGTGTGTGTGTGTGTGTGTGTGTGTGTGTGTGTGTGTGT